ATGGACTGGATCTCTGAAACTGTGAGCCAAAATAAATTTTTCTTTCTCTAAGTTGTTCTTGTCTGGCATTTTGGTCACAACGATGAAAATTTGACTAACACACTTTTATATAAATCAAGTCAGATTAGTTAATGTTTATTGACTTCTCCATCTAGACACGAATCACTGCGATGGATACCACCTATTGGAAAACTAGGAACTGCCTCTTGTGCCAGAATTTTCAGAATACTTTTTCTGGAATCCAAAAGAGGGAAAACAAACCTCAAAAATCAAGCTCTCAAGCCAGGTGTGTTGGCACACCCCTGTAGTAATTCCAGCAGCTCAGGAGAGTCTTACGTGAATTAATTCATATTAATTCACATTATAAGGTAGCTATGTTTATATTATAAGCAGAGATGTCAATATAGGGTGCCATAAATTTATGCATAAATTCAGGATTTCTTTTACTTTAGTGTTTAGAATTGTAATATTTTACATATCATTGTCATTTACTCCTTTTTCCCCAATTTCAGATTTAAAAATGCAATAATATAAAAATGTAAGTTCTCCTTAAACTGATCTCTGTAATAAGGAAAAAAATCCAAGCAAGTTTTTTGAAGAATGCTGATAATCATATAATAATCTTGATATTTACATGGAAATTCAAAGGATCAAGAATAGTCAAGGCACCGTTAAAAAAACAACAAGGCTTTCCTCTTCCCCATACCATGACTTACCATAAAGCTGCAGTATCTCAGAGAGCATGATATTGTTCCAAGGATAGAAAAATAGATTAATGACAAGTGAAAGTGAGAGCCTAGTCTGCGGGAAAAAAAAAAAAAACTGTTTCTTCAGTTTTCACACCACCAAAATTAAAACTGCAGAATTTTGTGACCTCAAAGGGCATGGGGATTTCTCCTCACTGGCAAGCAATCAGTTCTGCAGTGGACACCAGCCAGGTGTCCTCTAATTTGATTCAATTCTGACACTATCTGTCTGAAGTTAGTGTCAGATCCCACATGTTAAGGGCTCAGCTTCCCTGCTTAGATGCTAGTCACAAGCCCCAGGTTGCTTTACTTGTGCTTCTGACCAATCAGCTGTAAACCAAGTTTCCTACAAACTCCTCTTTGGGTTCAATTAATGTATTTAAGTAGATCACAAAACTCTAGAAAATATTGACATTTATTAGTTTTTTGTAAAAATATTAGAAAGGATACAGATGAAGAGTTGCACAGGGCAGGGCATATGGGAAGAGTCATGGAGCTCTTTCTGGGGGTACCAACCTGCAGGAACCTCCACATGTTCAGCTGTGTGGAAGCTCTCTGAACTCTGTCTTTTTGGGTTTTCACAGAGGCTTCATTACATAGACAGGACTGCCAATAAGTCTGACTGGATGTGGAAACCAGCAAGGCATGTCTGTCTAGATTCATCATATTCTTTCCTCATGGGTTGGGGGCAGGACCATTCTGGAATGAGGAGGGTCTTATGCTTTACTAAGGGTCTTAAGGTTTTCAAACAAGGTAGTCAGAGGACTTATTTATGACTATGTAATCATGGGGGAAGATTAATGCCTATGATATACTTTGGGGAAGAGAAATTCTAGTTTTTAGGCCAGACTTGGGAGTTATAAGTCAGGACCCCTGGATGAAAACCAAAATCTATACATCATATTAAAAGACCAATGCTTACATTAACACTTGATTTTTGAAAAGTTGGTATATCAAAGAGTGGGAGAAATAGTATTTTATTTAAATGACATTGGATCAATTGTATGACCATTTTGAAAAAAAAAAGAATTATGATTGAATCACTTACACAAAAATCAGTCCAAGTAGATTACAGAGCTAAATACAAAAAACAAAACATGAGGTGAGAAGCTTCCTCTGCCGTGGGCTCTGATGATGTGTTGCATTGCCAAATGACCAAAAGCAACAGGGTCAACCAAATAGGAACTGAAACCTCCTTTCTTTTTTTAAGTTGATTATCTCAGGTACTTTCTTACAGTAACAGAAAACTAACTAACAATACTCCCTTCATTACCTCCAGCAAATATATATCTTATAAGAAGATCTTGCATGCTATCTTTCCATTTTTGATGGGCTACCCTCTATAGGAAAATGTTAATGAAGTGCCCAACATAGTTCCTGGCACAAAAACCACTGATAACTCCCAATGTTGGATGTGAGAATTTGTGGATTTTTTTTTTTCCTACTTGAGGATCCTATATGGCAGAGGGATCAGTAGTTAGGCCCCAATTTTCCAATAAAAGATATTTTTTCTTGCATTTAGTAGCAAGTACAATGTTTTATGTCTTGACTACTACCAGACTGTGACTTCTGAAAATCTTGTTCCATAAAAAAAAAAAAAAACCTGATCTGTGAACCTACCAAAGTGAAAGTTTCAAAAAGAGGTCATTCTTATTAATTAGCAGATGTCATATAGCAAAAATAAACTAGAAAATACTAAGTCAAAGTCATTTTCCCTATTGTAGCAAGCTCAAAATATGCAACATTGGGATTTAAAACATTAGCTATTCTAGTAATTATGAAAAGATTCTCTGGCATGGCATACTATTCCTGGGAATTTATTAAGAAGATTATTCTACAGAAAACTAAGGAGGGTGGGATTAGGTCTTTTCCTTTGTGACCAAGTGTTTTCAAATTATCACTGTATTGCTCCAGTGAAAGTCCTCACGTATATCCACAAAAAGACCATGTCTACCCTCTTTTTGCCGCTATGAATTAATTATATGTGGATGGCAGTAGATAAGCTCAAAACATCCATCACATTTACTATCATGGTAAAATATCAGGAGCAAGTTAAATTCACAATAATTTTAACAAGTGGAAAATAAAATCTCATTATATAGGGTGGGGAGAGAGAAGATTCTGATGCTATTTTGATTTCATAATTTCAATTAAGTTAAATATATATGCCTTGTATATAAAAGTGAGAAAAGATCATAACTGAGTTATGCTTGAGTTTGGAGATTACATATGATTATTTTATTTTATTGTTGACACCCTTTGTAATTCTATTATATTGATTTTGCAGTTAAATAAGCCAAAAAGATTTATGGCCTTATTCAGAGATCTCATCATAAGATTCCTTCAATAATAAGCATCCCATTTGCAAAACAATATAATTGTAATCATTAATTTTAGAAAACAACATTTCAGTAGTACACACATCACATGAAAAAAGAGGTATCTGCTCCCTGCAAGCTCTATGAAGAAAGAATCAGATAGGGGTGAGGTTCTGGTCATGGTACTATTGGTTGTTTAATTCCAAGGCTCTAGTACTTTGTTCAGGACTTGGGGTGATATATCTGTTCATTTTCGCCTTGCCTATTCTATTTCAGTGTTCAAAAGAGAATTGGGGAACTACACGGAAAAGAATGTGCTTTTCTTGCCAGCAATGGAGCCAGCAAATTTTCTTTAAAATACTCTAATCTTGAAGAAAAAAATAAGTTCTCTTCAACATACACTGTATGCTCAGACTATATAGTAGGTTGTAAACAGTGAAGATCACAGTGGACTCCAGTCATCAAATGCACTTTTTAACTCACAGCCCACTCCATCAGTTAGCTCTGTAATTTTCTGCAGAGAAATGAAGGCAAGAGCAATGTCCACAGCCCTGTGGTGAGGTGCTTCCTGCTCACCCTCTCTGCCTAATGCCTGGCATTGTTTCCTGTTGACTGTATTGGGCCTAATGGCATGATTACCTTAGGGAAATTAGGGGCATACTGTGGAAGATGGGGAACTAATTGGCCAATATTTGAGTAAATTGCTTACTGCCAGTGTCTTCTAACAGCAGGAAGCAAGACCACAAATAAAAAACAAAACAAAAAAAAAATAAAAAACAAAGTTCAAGGATCTCAAGCTCCCTTTAAAAATAAATACTGAGGGAAATCTGATAGTTTTATGGGCAGAATTCAACTGCTTTACATCTGATGGATTTCTTCCTTTGAAGAAAATTCAATTGAGATCAGAGTGCCCTTAAATTTAGAGTCATCTTATGAAGCTGCAGACTCAGTTAAGTGTAGACTGTATTCCACATCAGCTCCCAGGCAAGCAAAGCTGCATCTTGAAGGCAGCCTCTCAATTGTGCTAGGTGCTTAGTAGGAAGTCAAAACTAGTTACCCAACTGGGTGTGGTGGAACATATCTGTATTCCCAGCTACACAGGAAGCTCTGAGGCAGGAGGATCACTTGAGCCCAGGAGTTCAAATTTAGCCTGGGAAGCATAGTGAGACTGTGTTTATATATATGTGTGTGTGTGTGTGTGTGTGTGTGTGTGTGTGTGTGTGCGCGCGCGCGCACACGCGCATCAGGAGCGTAAATGTTAGCATACTAAACTGACCAAAAATATTGAGATTCTATAGTAGTAATTCCATGTGTGTTAGTCAGCTTTCCATTACTGTAACAAATACTTGAGAAAATCAACTTTAAAGAGAAAAGGGTTATTTTGATTCATAATTTTGGAGGTTTCAGTCCATAGTCAGTTGGCCTATTGCTTTTGGACCTATGGTGAAGTCGGGGAGTACATGATACAGCAAAATCATTGACCTCATGGCTGAGAATAAATGAGAGAGGAATAAAAAGAGGCTGGGGTCCTAATCTCCCTTTCAAGAGTACTCTCCAATAGCTGGAAGACCTCCTACTGTATCTCCTCTTAAAGGTTCCACCACCTTCCAACAGTACCAAGCTGAGAACTAAGCCCTTTAGAGTACCTTTAAGATCCAAACTATAGTATTATGAAAAAAAAGTATTTTTTTAAAATGTCCTTACTACAGAAAAAGAAGAGGGTCTTTAGAAAGGCATTTTAAGGTAGATAAGGGACAAATTTGTGAGGTACAGGTATCTGAGGACAAAGCACATGGCTGAGTCCTGGTGTCTGGTGGGAGCATGGGTAATGCCAATAGAACTCATACGGAAATGACCAGGGGGACCTGACATGTAAAGTAAAGCACCCTCCAGTGCACAAATACCAAGCACCCCAAACACCATATATCCTTCATACCTTTTTACGTCAGCCAGTCCCAGATCATTCAGAACCTATGAGGCTTGTCAAGGCTCTTTCTTTAAATGCAACTGCAGCCTCTCCCCAGGAGCCCAGCCTTTTTTCACTAAAGGCTGCAGGTTTCTTTTCTTCTAACTCCAGGCCAGCAAGAATCATCTTTTTGAAATATAAGAAAAGAAAGTCAGGTGGAGAGGCCACTTATTCCTGCCTTCTCTTTGACTTTCCTTTCAAAAGAAGGAAACAAATGAGTAGCATGAAATGGGCACAGAGAGAAAGCAGAAGGCTTATCCATCAAGCCCTTTCACTCCCTTTGATGGAATAGGTTTCAAATAGCTTCCTAAAATAGGAGTAGTCTATGCCATATCTGGGTTATGGAGTTCGTGGGTTTTAAGAGGCCGATTTAAAATTCTATAGCCACATGAAAATGTGAGCAGAGAGGAATTAATTTTTCTTGTAAGCACAAGAGATCCTATCATCCTTTCCTTTTCATCCACGTTTAATTGGAAGGCCATACATTTATTTCTGAAGCTTCATGGGTGGCACAACCCACAGAAAAGCACCTGGAGTGCAGATTTAGTAGAAAACAGACTGTCAAAGTATGTTGTGTGTAGCTTGTTTCTTCTGAAAAATGCAAACAGATGCCTCACTCTGGGGTCATGGCTGCTTGACTGTTACAACCATTTAAGCTGATCATGAACCAGAAACATACTACACCCTGAAGAGTCTGCAGAGGCCCAGCAACAACAAAGGCACATTGTACTGGTTTGGAAATAAGGACTTAAAAAAAAGGATGACTTATGTGGAATGGAGGCAGGAGTTGGATCAAGCACAAGTAGATCAATGATTCCACTAATTGTTATGTCAGCTGGGCCACTTCAATTTCCCTGCCTCTGCCTGTGAGGTTTCTGGATCACTCTGTAAAGCTGAAAGCTGGCTAAACAGGTGCTGTAGGAGAGTAGTACCTCCAGCCCACAACTTGCCTGGCCATAGGAGCTGCCCGTCTTCCACCCTGCCTGGAGTGATTTCCACCATCTCATTCGTGTGCTTTATTGACCATGAGTTATTTTGCTTCCTTTCTCCCCTCCTTTCCTACTTTCTATTTTTTGAAAATTTTTCCTTGTTCCTAAATTTTTCCAACTGGTTTTCAGGTATGCATTCTACTTATATTCTTTGAGAAGTCATACTTAAATGTCTAACATGATTATTTAACACCATTGAAGGCTGAAGATCTCTCTGTAGAATATAGGACTCTCAAAACAGGTTTCTTATAACTTCTTGACTTCTCTATTTATTGTTTCCCAATGTTTTAGTTCCACCATCTTTTTGCACTCCACCCAGGTCAGTTATTAATGCTTCTATTTATAATTAATACTAATTTGGATTTATCAACTGGTTCATGGAGTTTTCTTTATCTCATTCTTAGCTTTTGGATTATTTTCTTTTTCTCTAAAGTTCAAACCTTAGTTAATTTTTATATTCAGATAAGGATCTCTGACTAGTGCTGATATTTTCAGAATCCCTGTGTGTACCTGGAAATGTCTTATGTGCTCACCAGTTTTCCTCATTTTCTTCTGGAATGTTTAGTTGCCAATCTGCTGTCAGTTAAAATCCCGAGACTACTAATTCTCCTACTTCCTTTTCAAATCTGTCATTTATCTTACTGGCCTTTAATTTTTTTTTTCAGTACTGGGAATTAAACCCAGGGGTGCTCTACCACACTGAGCCAGCCCTTTTTAATTTTTTTTAAAATTTTGAGACAGGGTCTTGCTAACTTGCTGAGGCTGGCCTCAAACTTGTGATATTCCTTAGACAACCCAGTAGCTGGGATTAAAGGTGTGCTGCACTGCACCCAGCTTTCTCTTAGTTTTGAAGTTCTGAAAATTCTCTGCAATGTACCTAAGTATGAATTTGTTTTCATTTACTCTGCTCAGGAGTGCGTTTCAACAATGACAGCACTTATAAGTTCTTAAAATATCTCTTTCTTTCTCTGCATACAAGATCTCTTTTAGATCTTAAACCTGAGTCTTCTCCCATTTGTATTGTCTGCTCATCCTTTTTCATAGATTTCAGTTTTAAAATCTTTTGCAGTTACCTCAACCTTAGTGGAGATGTGTTTAGTGGGAGTCCATTTCCTGGAGCATAGAAGATAGCTACGTTGCCTTGCGTCTATTCTGCCACAGACTCATAGGTTTCACCTCCACCACAACCACCTCTTCTGCCACCACTACCTCCATCTCCACCTTCACCTCTTCTTCTACTATCATTACTTCCACCATCTCCTTATCAACTCTACCACCTCTACCTCAACAATATCCATCAATACTACTTCTACTACTGCCACCACTATCTCTACTGCCCCTATCACCTAGCACCTCCACCTCTATCCCCACTACCACCACTACCACCTCCACCAATCCCCCATTTTCTCATCCAGAGCCCAGTTGTGCCAGGGCTCAGACAAGTCAAAGAAAGTGCCCAGAGACAGCATGGAAGACATTGCTTATTGGGGAAAGCTTACATTAGATCAAAGACTGCTCCAAGAAGAGTTCAGTGGTGAGAGGCTGATCAGAGCGTACCACTATCCCTCACAGTGCTTTGCCAAGCAGTGCCTCCTCTCCCTCATGGTGCTTTGTCCAGTAGCGGCCAGCCAGATGAATGATATATATCCTTTCCACAATGTCCTCAGTTTCATGCCCATCCCTATTCAGAGAGGGATTTTATAGTTCAGTTGCAGAGGCAGTGACATCACCAGCATTAGCTTGCTTAGTTTGCTTGTCTCAATAGCTTACCGAGGAGCAACTGTTCTGATATACATGCAAGAAAGTAGCTTTCTACAGATAACACTAACTTGTCCTAGTTTTCAATGTGCAGAAGAGAAAGCCATTGTTCTTTAAGATAATATGTATTTGGACTTTCCAGGCCAGACTTGCTCTCATTTTTTCCTTTACTTGGTGAGGTTTTTGGGAACAGAAAGGGGGCATTCAGGGACATGGTGTTTTACTGTCCTCCTTTGCTTTAAGGATGATACATCAATCAAACTCTACCACCTCCACAATGTCCTCCCCCACCACCTCCACCTGTGCTTCTACCTCGACCACCACTTCCACCATTCCTCCCCATCAACTCCACTATCTCATCTCCACAATATGCACCACAATCACCTTCATCTCCTCCACTACCTCTGGCACCATTAAGAACTCAAATAACACCACTATCACCAACATCTTTGCTACCAATACTACTACCTTCACTGTCACCTCCAAATATTCCACCTTGAGTGATTGCAAAGAATATTTTTGAGGTTTATTAAGTTGTATGACATAGGAAATTTCCATAGACATACTGGAGAGGAGTATCACAGCATGCATGGTGCCAGGCCAGAAATGGATAGAAATCTAACAATAGATGAGTCAGGCCATGGTCCTGAGCAATGAGGACAATCAAAAGAGCAATTAGGTTAGAGGCAAAAGGGAAGAAACATTCTCTAGGGGCATATTGGAAGTGAAGACCAGAGGTGCAAAACCAGGAATAGTTGATAGAATCTTGATTGAGAAAAAGAAAAATGGATGGAGATAACACATTTCTGTAATTTGGGGTTAAAATGGGAGGGAATGTGTCTTGATTTTACCTTAAGAAAAGAGAATATGGCAAATACCCCCATAACCTACACTGAAGTTCCAATGCTCTACTGCTGCTAAAACCAGTTCTGCCAGCAGGAATCCTCTCCCATTCCCCACACTATGAATTTGAGCAATTGAAGTGAGAGTGAAAGCTTTCCTGTGCAGATAGGTTTCTCTCCACCACATGGCAGCAGTCTCCCCCATTTTATGCCAAGTGAGAGTTACATCAAGAAGAACGTATGAAAGGCAAATGTCTTATGGAGTCTGGAAGCTAAGAGACACTTCAGAGGCCTGAGACTACATAGTATGAGAGCAAGTATGAGAGCGAAAGCAGAAAAAAGAGAGATTGACATTTCAGTAGGAGCAGCTTTGTTCCTGCATTGTGAACCTTTCTATGGGACCAATATTAGGGCTTGAAGAAGGAACTGACCCTGAAGCCACTTAAAGAAACCTTTGCCCAAGTAGGCCAGCTAGAGGGGCAGAATGACCCAGAATAGAAGGGTAGAGGAGATTGCTGTAAAGTCTAAAAGAAAGAACTGAAAGTGGCCAGCTTAAGGAAGCATATCCTACATTACAAGGTGCCACAGGGGTGCTCCAAAGTAATCCACCCATGAGAGAGTCAGCGTAGTATCCTTGTCACCTAGAAGGCCCCACACCAAAAAAATGATAACTGTAGTAGCCAGTTATCATAAACCCAGGAGGCAG